CTTGCTCATTTCAGAAAGAATTCTTAATTTCTGCAGTTTGAAGATTTTCTGTGCTAACATCTGGGTTATTAAAGAAGGCTCCCCCCCAAATAAAAGAAGTGCTGATGGCTTTAAAATTGCTAGTAATGATATTGTGAGGTGAAAGCAAAAGGTATCTGGTTCTGTGGGCCATTTTCTTAGATTTCCTTGTCATTAAATCTTATACTGTGTTAGGCAAATCCAGATATATTTGAAAATTTTAGTTGGCTAGCTTCCTGAGTGTTTCCACAGATATTTCTGTGTAAGTTCATGTTGGAATTACATATGTAAATATATGTGGTAAAGAACTAGAGGAGGTGGGAAAATATCCTGGATTATCTGACTTAGAATTTTTTTCATTCTGTGGTTTAAAGAATACAATAGTTATTAAGTGCCAAATATCCTACCATAATAATTTCTAGACTCCTCAAGGCATGACTTAAATATTACAAACAATCTTTTGCAACACTTACAGAGAAGGCAAGTAGAGCAGACTTAGCCATTTTTACATTTTTGCTAGTTTAAGCATGTTGTTTCACGCTTTCCTAACCAAGAGAAACATGCCTGTGCTGGGCTGACAGCTAGTCTCCGTAGTGATTACATTTTTTAAAAACTTGACAGCAATCAAAGTAAGCCGCTTCCTCAGCATCTCCACTGCTAATACATTGCATGGACATTAGCTTCCTAAGTGAACTTGGAAATTTTTGAGTCTTCTAAGACAACAGAACTTAGGAAAGTGTTGCTGTCTTCTTTACAAGTTTAACTTCTAGATGACCTGTGTTTGTGGAATTGACTGACTAGAAAGTTCTAAGCCCAGATATGTTTCTTTAGATACATAAAAGACTTTATGAAATCAGTATGGAATAGTCCCTCTTGTGGCACTCCTTTCCCTAACTTCCCAGTCTTATGAAATAATTTATGAAAAAGAAATGGCCATTAAAGTTGTGATTTTCAAAGACATTATTACATTGTTATTCGTGATAGTTAAACAGCTTAACTCCACAGGAAGTCTGATACAAAAATCAAGTACTTTATTTCCAGTACTTATTTCAGCCTGCATTTTCAGGGTATAAATCTGTGCTCTGTTTAAAATGTACCATACTTATTTGGAATGTCAGTCATTTCAATTCCTTTAAAATATATATATTTTATAGAAATGCAGAAAATCTATCGGTGACTGAGAGACAGGGGTATCCGAGTTGAGATCAGAAGCCAGTTTTACTGAGTATACAAGGTGTTTGTATAGGGTTTTACTTGTATGGCACTTTTACAAGGTTCTGTTTTTGGTAACAATTTCTCTTTGGTTACATATTCTTCATGACATTACCTGGTAACACTATCTTACCACAAAGTTTCCCAGCATGTTTCTTGGTCACTTATTGCCTATGGAGCACTTACCTGTTTCTGTCTCTTCCACAGTTTCTGCTCAATCAGACCTAAGATAGTAGGCTCCTTTATCAGTTCTATTGTACTCTGTTTTATTCCCAATAAAAGCCTATATTTTTTTGTTTTAATTTTCACTTAACTTTTAAACTTACAGTTTATTTATTAGCTACAGAGAAATACTTTCCTTTTTTTCTTCAGTACCTGCTTCCTGGTTTCCTCTTCTCTCTACACATATGTATCTAGAGAAATGACCTTTTTTCCTCCTAAATTTTATGTATCTCTTTCTCCTTTTTTTCTCTACAAGGATGCCTCTTCACATTTCTCAGAAAATCAGCCTCTTTCATAACTTATCTAGTCCGTTACATTCTACACACCCTTGAGAAATATCATCAGGAGCCAACAAGCAGAGCAATAAATGGATCAGACAAAGATTACAACAAATGGAACAAGAGAAACTCAAACATTTTTTAAAAAAGTTAATCTCAGTTGATTTTTTGGAATTATCATACAGGCTAGGCAAAGGAAAGCCCACATATATACTTTTGATTCACTATGAGTTATACACCTGCAAAGAATGTCACTGCAATGGGCCATGTACTTTCTGAACTTATCTCAAGGTAACCTGCCTGTGGTCTTGAGAGGATGCCGTGGGAGGGAGCAACAAGCCTCTGCTTCATGCAATCCATAAAACATCGGGATATAAAGCTAGAGTAAGGAAAAGTTGACAGAAACACTAGTTCAGACAAGAAGAAAGAATCATGTCTCTCTCTTCAGTAAAGTTTTCAACACACATACCTCTGCTTTCAAGAGAGAGCATTTTGTTTCCTGGTGATACATATTTTCAAACTGAGTCTTGTTTCTTCCACTGCCCATCCTGCAACAGCCTTTGGTGGCTCAGCTTAGAGCTCTCTTCCCCATCCCCATCCCCATATACCATGTGAAGTCACTAGAACTTCAAAACTGTTCCAGATGCTGGCTGATGGACAAACCTCAGCTGTGACTCAGCTTTATATAGGGCAGATATATCACCAGGGAATAAATTATAATCTTTCTTAAAAGCCAGTGGGACTTTGGTGCTGATTCCAAGGCACTAGAGCTTCAGCCAAGACAGGTAACGTAAAAGCAAACATGCTGCACTCTTTGATGGATTTATTGTTATTGTTGTTTGGTTTCGTTTTAGCATTATTTCATTACTGATATTGCAGTAGCTCTTAATAAGACTAGAAATAGACTGAAAAATACTACAACATTTGACTAAAATGATCCTTAGGCAACAAATAAAACACTAGCACTGGTATGGAATAATGTTATATTCAATTTCCGTTTACAAATATATTTTTTCTTACCTTTATAGACACAAAGAGAGGATCTGTTAATTTTGCTTTTTGCCAGTATTAAAAATATTTTTCTTGTCATTAGGAAATGTCTTTTCTCTATATTGTAGCAGTATGATATCCTGGCTCAAAGCACAATCTCATGCATTTATTTCCTATGAAAGAATTTAATTAACTATGAAAAAAATAAGTGATGTCCTTAAAATAGGACTAGCAAACTGCAAGTTTTTCTGTGCTGACTGTTGAAAATCTAGTAGTTTATAAAGGTAGAGTTATAATTATAAGGCCATTTTAATTTTAACTATTGTGATGACAGCACTTGCACGTGCTGCAAATCCATCCATACAACCACATATCCATTAGCTTACATTTCTGTGAAAACTGCAGGAAAAGTCTAAACAGAGTTTCCAAGTAGATTCATAGGTCATATCCAGATTAAAGTGGGTATCAGGTTGTCTGTGTTACAGTAATGTTCAGCAGAGTCTGAAAAGAGTTCCTCAGACTGTCAGAGTGTCACTGATGGCATACTCAAGCTCCCTGGCAAGACTAGGCTACTCTGTGTGATGCGTTTGATGTTGCTTTGGATTCAAGAACATTACTGAAACACAAAAAAAGTTCTTATTCAGTGGCCTGAATAAATAAAATTATACCAGAAGCTAGCTAAACAGCCATAGCTCTCTGGGTACAGAGAGGAACAGGATCAGCAGAAGCTGAAGCCAGCTTAGGCCATAGCTCGTGCTGGGGCAGTGCAGTCCCCAAGGGCCCCTGGGGAAGGGAGCTACAGAACTGGCACAGCCCCACAGCTCTTTGCCTTGGAGGGGCTGGTGCCCATGGCCTGACTGTGAGCTTCAGCCTAGTGAACTGCAGCTGCACTGTGGTGCTGCTGCACAGAGGAGTCTCTCCACTCAATTATTATTTAATCTTTTCTACAATAAACAAATACTACCTTGTTGCATCACACATACCAAACATTTTTTTAGAGCCCCAAAATACAAAGATTTATAGACACACAAACTAAGTCATAGTATCATAGAATATGGTGAGTTGGAAGGGAACTATCAGGACAACTGAATCTGCTCCTGGCCCTGTGCAGGACACCTCAAGAATCCCACCACATGAATAGGAGTGTTGCTCAAACACTTCTTAACTCTGTCAGGCTTCCTGCTGTGCCACTTCCCTGGCAAGCCTGTTCCAGTGCTCACCACCCCGTGGGTTAAAAATTTTCTGACATCCAACCTAAACACCCCCTGACTCAGTTTCATGCCATTTCCTCAAGTCCTGGCAGTGGTTGTGAGCGCGATGGGATTGGCACCTGCCCCTTTGCTTCTCCTCATGAGGATGTTGAAGACCACAATGAGGTCTCCACTCAGTCTCTTCTCCGGGCTAAACCAGTGGCCTCAGCTGCTCCTTATAAGGCTTCCCCTCCAGATCCTCCACCGTCCTTGTGTCTCTCGTTGGGACGCTCTCTAACATTTGACTAAATTTGATAATATTTGAGTAGCTAACCAAGTCTTTTTTTAAAAAGAAAAGCGACGCCTAAGCACGCCTCTTGAAGACCGGTATCAACTTCGCCAGACGCGAGGCGGGCGGTGCCCTACGGTCCCGGGGTGCTCCGGGGCGGCTCCCAGAGGCACGGCAGCGGCTCCCAGGGGCACGGCGGCGGCTCCCAGCGAGACAGCGGCTCCCCGGGTTCGGCGCGGCGGTGCCCGGCCCCATCACGGCTCGGGCGGGCTCCGGGCACGGCGGACTCGGGCGCGGCGCTCCCGCCCAGCGGGGGCGGTGCTGCTGACGGCGCCAGCCCCTCCGGACCTTTCGCGCCGCTCCCGGCGGGGAAGCCCGAGTCGCCGCGTGTGGCAGGGCGCCCGCCGGGAGCGCTGGGCGCTGTATGGGAGCCCTTTCCCAGAGGGCACGGTCGCGCTCCCCCCCACCACCGCTGGCGGCGCGAAGGAGGACGGCGGAGCATGCCATCGGCGGGGCGGTTCCGCGAAGACTGACATGCTGCTGAAGGAGGGCAGGCGCCAGCCTCTCCGCCTCTCCGCGCGGTAGCGGAGGCGATGCTGGAGGGCGCTCCCCGGGCTTTTCCGCAGGCGCCAGGCTATCGCCCACAGCAGCCGCGGTCGCTGCCGTGAGCGGCGCGGCTCCGGCCCGGCCGAGGCGACGAGCGGCGCGGGCCCGCACCCGTGCCCGGGGCGGCGGCGGCGGCGGCGGCGGGGAAGGCGCTGCCCGCGCCCGCGGGCGGCTCCGCGCGGCGGATGCGTGTGCATGAGCGCTGCACCGAGCGGGCGCAGGAAGCGCCCCCGCTCCGCCGCCTCCATCTTCCAGGGCAGCAGGACCTCGCCGCACGGCCGCGACAGCGAACGCCAGGGCAGCGGCTCCGATAGCGCCTACCAGACCCAGAGAACCCTGGACGACTGTAAGACGGTGAGTACCCCGGGCGGGCTTGCGGTAGTTTTTTGCCTTTTCCGAGCTCTCCCGGCACAGGTAGCGGTGCTGCTTCTCCCGCCACCTTGACAATTCCCATCACGTGCAGTTGCACTGTTTTTAAGCCCGCAGTCCCCGCCGGGGTGCTGCCCTGCACTCCAGCTCGCCGCTATTCCAAAGCCGGAGCCGGGAGGAAAGACGAGACCTGCGGGACAGGGAGCCCGCCCGCCCGCCCGCGGAGCCGGGCGCCTAGACAGTCCTGCGGGAGCCGGAGTCCTCGCCCCAGTAGACACACCGCAAAGCAGCTGGAGTTGCTTTTTTTGTAGATCCGTCCAAATCTGTACCCAGACTTGGGTTCACTGAAGCCTACATGGGTAAATAGTTACCTCAAATCAGTCACTGCACTGCCTACTTGCTGTCTTGTGCAGCAACCACATGCTTGCCCTAATATCCTTCGAAATCAGGACACAGAATTAGAGGCCCTGAAATTCTGTCCCTGATATATGTGGTACCTGTTACTAGTCTTCCCAGAGTAACTGGTTGGCAGTTGTAAGACCTCAGGTGAAGCACTTGTGTCTCTGTTATTTATGGACTGTCACATTCTGGTATGAGATTTTTCCCCAGTCATACCCAAAATGCTTGTATCCTGACACTTTCCTCCAAATCAGCACCATATGTCCCCTTTCAGGCTCCTTGAGCTCCTTGAGCCTGACACTGGACCCCAAAATTGTTCCTCTAGCTAGTGACAGATATAGAAAAAAATTAAGTTGCTGCTACTTTATCTTGACAAATCCATACGTGGCCAAAGATCTGTCCAGTAGCATTGAAAATGGAGTTGTTGCTTCTGTTCTGCTGGATTCTGGCAATTTTTTTTCCTCTTGTGCTGAAAAATGTGCTGGCAGATTATCCACTCTGATGCTTCAAGATTGGGAGCAATTCCCAGTGCATGGAGGAACAAAAGCTGCCACTGTAGCTCTATTAATATACCCAACAAGTGGATCTTACTGGGTTTCGCCTTTTTTCTCATTCCCGATGAATGAGAAAACGAATTCTCATTTGCATAATGTGGTTAGTTACAGAGAAGTTTTAAAAATTAACTGATTAGAAATAAAATATGTTTTATAGGTGGGTTATCAAGTTGCAGTAGGATTCAGGAGGTAAAAATCAGTGTGGCATTTTTCTTGCTTTCTGTCTTGATTCAGCAACATATGTGTGGTTTTGTTTTCCTGGGCAGTGCTAAGGTGACTGGGATGAGACTGTTTAAGCAAGGGATGTCAGGTGAGAACTGGCAAACTGCGTCTGGTGCAACCAGTGTCCAGTTGCAGGATGCAACACTTTTCTCTTCTTCCTAATGCACAATAATCACTCTATGACACAACATAGTACAATTTTTTTCCTCTCCATTGCGTTCATGCATTCTCTTAAGCTGCAGAATGATAAGAGTTGAAGACGTATTTAGCAAATATTGTGCCTAGGGCTTTGTTTGGTGGGTGCTTTTGGGTTTGTTTGTGATCTAGGTGTGGGAGGGTGCAAATGTACTGAAATGCACTTGGATTGACTTGCTGCTCCTGAAGCAGAGGAACCTATTTGGTATTCTTAAAATGAAATTTTAGGAAGCATGGCCAGAACTATTTTTGATACCAGTTCTCAGCTATACAGTTCAGTGCAGTGGGATGCATGAAGGTTATGAATGTAATACTGCAGAAGTGGCTCGTTTATTTCCTGAGCATGATAATTTGAGGGCTTGACTTTAAAAATTGGTAGCTCTGATAGACACCAGGTTCTTGGCATATTTTTATGTTGGGGTGTGTTGAACTTCTGGTGATAATGATGACTGCAGAATTATGAGCAATTACTCTTGTCTGTTTTTATGTAGTTTGGAAATTGAGGTCAAAACACAGATAAATAAATATTCTGTTCTATTACTCCAATCCTTCCACCCCCGCCACCATGTGGAGCAAATGGTCTTATGTGCAGTCTTTCAGAAGGCAGCAAATGCTTAATTTCCTTAAAATATAATTCCATGTATGTCATTAGTGGAACTAAATAATAATGATCTTTCCATCACTCTGAAATTACCCATTTATCCAATGGGTATGGATCTGCTGGATATTGGATTTCTGTGCAGGTTGTATTGGTTATTAACTCATTTGTTTCTTTTTCCCCCATGCACTTTAGAAAAGGTGCTTTTTGGAATTTTAACAGGAAAGTGCTTATCTGGTACATCTTCTCAGCCAGTAACAGCAGATGAGTTTTAAGTCAGAAATCTGGGTTGAAGTAAAGTGACAGAACAGAAATCATTACAAAATGAATTAGCAAAATTGCCAGTTTAAAAGCAAATGCTACATTCCAGTCCCTGAACATGCTGTTAATCAGGAAGCAGGAGGAGCAAAGGCAATAATTTCTGGAGATATTTTTGCCTTTCATGATAGCAAAAAATAACCTCATGCTACTAATAAAACAGATGGTTTTTTGTCTGCTTAATACTTAATACTAATAACTCAAACACTTTCAGATATTAAAAGCAGAAACACTATTTTCCTACAGATGAACATTTATAGCTCACAGAAGAAGCAGCTGCCATGGAGGCTCTATCGTTTACAGAATTGTGTGCTCTTGATCCTGTGTATGAAATTGTGAGCAGCAGGAACAAGCCCTAGATTTGGCATGTTTTTAAAACACTGGATTGTTTTTACCAATGTAGTTAAAAATTCTCATGTATGTAAATCGTTTTTGTTTTTCAGCTTGTCCAGGAGTTCAATACCCAGGTGGCTCTCTATCGGGAGCTGGTCATTTCTATTGGGGATGTCTCAGTCACCTGTCCTTCTCTGCATGCGGAATTGCACAAAACTCGAACCCGAGGATGTGAGATGGCCTATCAGGCTCATCAAAAACTAGCAGCAATTTCTGGGTAGGAGGCAACTTATGTTTAATTAAAGCCATATTCATGTGCAAATCTTTGTTAAATACTACATAATGGAAACTTTCAAGAAAAGCATTAATCTGTGTTTCTGTTTTAGGCATAGAGGCGTATGACCACAGATTTTGCAGAATGTCCATATCTTTATGATAGTACAATTTGGGATCAAATCCTGGTCCCCTTACCAAGAACATATCCTTCTGATTTCACTGGATGCTTTTATGTAAGACAAACAGGATTTTATTGTGTATCACTGTAGATCAAGGGGGAAGCCATGCCATGCCCTTCAAGGGTGAAATAGCAATAGCTTTCTGCCCAGTCTTCCATTGAGTATACCTAATTGAATAGTTAAGAAACAACCAAAATTTGGTGAAAATTGAGCAAAGTGAATACAAATACTAGTCTAAAAACTTGTGTTTACCTTCTACATGTTTTTAAACCCTTGTTTGTGTTGAAATAAGAATGAAAGCATTGCCAGCATATAATGTTTTAATTTATTCTTTGGTATCACATTATGTACATTTTTTTCCATGGTGACAGAATGTATTATCACATACTTGAGACTATGCCTCAGTGCAAGATCAACCAGCATAAATAGCTCTTTCCTAAAAAATGGGAATTCGTGCTGCTAATTCCATGTGGGTGCTTCACAGTATGATGACTGGGGCATTTGCATTTATACATGTACCCCCTGAGTCATGTCTTTCTGATTACACTTTCTCAGAACTTTCTGCATCTATCTAATCTACCATAAGCCATTGTGCACCACTAGAAAAAAAACCCACCATCTTTTTTTTGGTAGCTCTGCCTAATCTCCATTGAATTTCTTTCATCACTTTAATATGTAAAAGAAATCTGTTACAGGTTTGATATATAAGGGGAGCCCAAAGAAACAAACCAAACAGGGAAACATACTGGTTGGGTGTTTTAGTAGAAATGTCATCATTTTCAAGTAAGACTTTGTGCAGAGTGACTTAAGTTGGTTTTGTGACCTCTGATTTGTTCCTCAAACAAAATACATGCTTTTAAAATACTAAAGTTGATGGGAACTTTAAAAAAATTAGCAATGAATAGACATAGTTCTTTTTAACCAGTACATTGAAAAATGTGAAACAATAGTGAAATTTATCTTGTGTGCTTTCAGACTTTTCTTTTCAAAAGAAAAACTAATATAAACTAAAATAATACATTTGAATAGCTGAATCTATTTTGTAACTCTTAAATATTTTTCCCAGTAAAGAAAACAATTGATACATGCTCTTTTAGAAAGTACACAGTTGTTTTAAGCAATCATTTCACAGCTGGAAGTCTGTCATATGCACAAAGATGTCCTGAAGGTTGCGCAGTCGCTGCGAGATTGACATTTGGCTAATCTAAAACTGTTCTAAATAACTCTGATAATACTGTGATATCCATAACAACTGGTAGGTGTTAGAAACTCTCTGGAAATTACTTGTTTGGTTTGACAAACATTTTACAAGATGTGCTTTGCATCCCCACCCTCCTGTAGCTGAGGAAAGCCATAATGAGGCATTAACTTTTTTGGTGTATTTTTGAGGAAAGGTGGGAAATGAAGATACAGCAAGAAAATAAATAGAAGGAGAGGGGTAATAAATAGTCTCAGAGATTTAGTCTTTACCTCAGCAAAAATACTGATGTAGTGCATGTGAAATAGGATCTGGAATAGGAATCTAATTGGCTAGGAAGAAAAAGTATCAGGAAAAAAAATGCTTAGGGACAGGAATGCATTAAATCATCCTCAGTATTAAATAGTCAGGAGGGTAGTGTGCTGTTCAGAAACCACTGTTAGTCAGCATATGGGATGAAGGCTTATTTAGTTCTCTGCTTTAGCTCAAAATGCACAGCACTGCACTGGGTAGCACAACAAGTTCTGTCTTCCAAAACTTATTAAAGAAAATGTGTTGCTTTCCCACCTAGAAGAAATAATAGCAAGAAGCTGTTTATGCTACCAGACTAGAACATTTCATGAGCGAATACCATTCTATTAATTTAGGCCATCAGTAATGTTCAGTTAGTATCTAAGTGATCTATCTGAGGTGTTGCAGGGCACTCTTCCTTTGGAGATGCTGGTGTGACTGTCTAATACTAAGTTTGTTTATCTTGTTTGTGCTGTGTTTTCCTTGTAACATTAGCAGACACCTTAATGTGATACTGCTCCTCTTTGAATATATCAGGATGTAATGGAATGATGGAATTAGGGTTAGAAGGACCTCTGGTGATCGTCTAGAGATCACCTAGTCCAACTCCTGTTGGCACTAGTGCATTTGAGGTTCTTAAATACCTGATTTGGACAATTAGAAGAGGCACCTATTTCCTTTCTTAATTCACTTGTAGTACAAGACTAAGCAAGGTAACAAAGAGGAAAGATGCAAAGACTTGGACGGAAAGAAGTAAAAACAAATCCTCTAGTGCTGGCAAAGGGAGCTCTGGGAAGAAATTTGGAAATTGTGGGAAGGGAAAGAAATGCTGAGGTGGAGATAATGCATTAGAAACTTAGCAGGATAGAAGTCATGGGGACAAAAAATACATTGGTCTTGGGCATATCAGTTCTGGAATACTGGGCACACATCAAAGTAGGACAGTGTTGTAACGTGAACAAGAAGAGAAGTAAGTGTAGTGTAGAAGCGTGCAAGTGTACCTGTAGAAAAAGGATACACTGATATGCCAACAAAAGCAGATTCAGCTATAGAAGCAGAGGAAGTGAAACTCACACGTTTTAAAAACTGAGAGAAAGAAAGACAAATGAGATAATGAAAAAAAAGATGAGGTAGCAAGGAAACCTTTTAAAGTCCACACTGGATTAGACCATATCACCCTATATCTACCTCAAACCTGACAACTGCTGGTAGCAGAGATTTCATAAAAAAATATGCAAAGATACAAAAAAGAAGGTTGTGCATAGATGCCTTCTCTCACATACTTGACTCTACCCAGCACTCAGCATTCAGTAGGCAAAGGCTGCATCTGAACAGTCTGTATCTGACAAATGCAATTTCTCTAAATATTAATATATTTTACTCAAAAAATGCTGAGATTGAATAAGGAAATCTTTACACTGTGATGTCTTTGAAAACCTATTTACTAAAAAAATATTACTGAAAAAGAAAGCTTCAAATTAAGTCTCCAACTTAATAGGGCCTCATAGATACTACATCCTCTTCTTTACTTGCTCTCATATCTTTTTCTTATAGAAATAGTAAGATTTTAGATAAGAGGAATACCGATTAGAAATAAAAATAATCTAAATTGAAATATCCTAATTCTAGTTAGTGTTCTTTTAGGAATGCCCTAAGCAAACCCTCTTGTCAGTGTTGTATTTCTCAGGACTTCAGGTCAATTCCTGCTCTCATACTAAAATTTGTTAGTGATTCTTAATGAGCTGTCTTCTGAGGAGGGTGAGTAAGGTTTGGTCCTTTCATCACATTTTCTGCTCTATAATGTAGTAAAAATTAAAAATCTGAAAGTATTTACATTGTGCATCCTTGTAGTATTAGTTGTCCAGTCAAAACTAGAGAAAGTACAGGAACAAGAAAATGAGTCAGCATGATTTTTTTTCCAAAGAAAAGAAAGGAAAAAAATTGTAACAGTAAGAAGATGGGGGTAGGGGGAAAGATGCAGATCTCTGTTGGCGAAGGGAGTCTGCTTTATGGAATGATAGAATGGTGATCTGTTAGAATTCGTCAAACAGGGAGCTGGTTTTATGTGTGGAGTCCACTGAGTCTGGGATGTCAAGAGAAAGATAACTCAGAACTGTATTTTAAGATACAGGTCTGCACAACTGTGCACACACTTTTGTAAATGTCCTTACATATTCTCTGGCACTTGATAGTCTTACATAATGTGTGCACTTGGCACACTGAGACCAGAACTGGCAGTGTCTCTGTGACAGTCTGATATATATGTTGGCAGTGGCTTTTTTGCATGAAAGAAAACTGTGTGAGGAGCTCGGGGTGCATGGCAATGTACATCTGTGTGAGCATAGCTCTGAAAGTGATTTTTCTCTGTTCTTCTGACTAGTTGCAAAGTCCAAAATCTAAGGAGAAATAAACCTCTAGTACGCACTGGGGCAGCAGCTTTGCAGAAGAGGATCTTGGGGGTTCTGGTGAACATCAGGTTGAACATGAGCCAGTGCTGTGCCCTTGTGCAAAGAGGGCCAGCAGCCTTCTATGCTGCTTTAGGAAATGCTGCCAGCAGGTCCACAGAGCTCATCCTTCCTTTTTACTCAGGGCTGTTGAATATGGATGCAGTGGGCTCCCTAGTAGAAAGGAGGAAAGGACAGGTCTAGTCAACTACCTTAAAGATGATTAGGCAGCATCCCACATACTGTTAGACCTGGGATTGTTTAGCTTGGAGAAGAGAAGGCTGGGAGGGGGATATTATCAATATGTATAAAAATACTTGATGGAATGTAAAGAAGACAGTCAGACTGTTCTCAGTGATATATAGTGATAGGACAGCAGGTAAAATTGAAATGAAAATAAAAATTGATTTAAATTTTTTAAACTCCTTTTTTATTGTAAAGCAAGTAGAATATTAGAACACGTGCGCTGAGAGGTTCTGGAGTCTCCACCCTTGGAGATACTGAGAATTCAACTGGTCATGGCCCTCAGTAGCCCTCTGTAGCTGATGCTGCTTAGAGCAGGAGGCTTGGAGCAAATTAGTTCCGGTGTCCCTTCCAGCCTGTGACAAAGTCATCATAAATCTCCTTGGGAAAATTCAAAGAAAATGTTTCCTTATTTGACACCTATGTGCGTCTGTTACTTTTATAAAACAGTTGCTAATTTTAAGTTTCCCTAAGTTCATGAAGAATGAGAGAAAGAATTGAGAAAGTGAGCTAAAAATCACATCCTGATTGCAATTCTGTGCACAAAAAGACTATCATAGATAGTGTTGCTTTAAGTTTTTAATTTTACATAATTTCTACTTTTGTTTTCCATTGCAGTCTGCAGTAGGTATTCTCATGTCTTCAA